AAAAAAAATCTTTATTGAAACAAAGGATAATAGAGAATGCAGGAAGGAAACTTATTCAGAATTGAAGTTTCTCAAGTATACAGAAAGACAGGTATAGTACTGCTTAGCGAACGGATAGAAAGCGAGAATTATTTGAATCTCAAACGGAAAAGAAAGACATCACATGAGAACGTGCCCTTTAACAGCAATGCAAACAAATCTAAATGAATCGCTCTTCTCTTTCTGTTGCACGTCCCATCGTTATACGGCAAATAATGCTCATTGACATCAAAGCACAGGAAAGATGAAAAATTGGAAGAAAATCGATAACAAAATCAAAACTACTTGGGAAAAATTGAAGAAATTAAAGAAGGAAGAAAATAAAAACAAGTATGTACAGAGGACAAAAAAGATCGATTTTTTCATGAGGTAATGAACGATAGTTCGCCTCAATTGAATAGAACCCTTTGAAAGCTTCCATCTGGCAGTGGAAGGCAATGACCGTTGACTTCTAGTCCTCCCCAGTCGGTTACGTTTTGAGTTTAATGAACCCTAAACACCTAGAAAACCAATTAGGGTTATGAATACTATAATATCCACATTATGAGTCAATTTACAACCCCGACGGAAATGTCACGCTATCGATCTCATCCTAATTGGATTACTTGGAAGCTCACAAAGTAAATTCCTACCCGTTCTCCCTGGTCTACTGAATAGGTTTGATTCACAGGATAGGAAATCTGAATCAATCCACAAATACCATAATGCCTTCCACAGCACACCTACCCAACAGGACCCTCCGGACTTACGATCAAAACGGCTCTGCAAAGCGAGAGTAAGAGGGTGCAGCGGCTCTCAAGCCTAGATCGGATCTCAGAACTAGTTACGCCCAGAACATACAGACCTTCAATCTCTAACTAAAGCCAGCCGTTTCAGGGAAACCGAAGCTTCAAGGACCTGCCAGCTTCTGATTTCCTCAATTTTTAGTGAAACACCACAAATCTAGCGCCGAACGGTTCTGAAAGGACGGAAGGCACATTTGATTTGGGCGCCTTCTAATTACAGCGGAAACAATCCACGTTTAATCAGCGGGATTGTGAGTGCTACTGTTGCAAACAAAGTAAAGCAAACTAATTCCCCCGATTCCGGATGCGAAACCCTTCGATTAACTCGTTCGCCACTTTCCAATATGAACAATTACTGGTG